TGTCGCGATCCTCGGAAGTGCTCGCACGTTATAGCTCATACATAGAACATAGGCCGCGCAGTCTGATCTTATCTACTTGGACTTCATACGGAACGTTACGAAGAGATAAAAAGGTACCTGGTGTGGGCAACTGTGGGCACAGGTTAGCCAGATGAGGACAGAGGACGTTAGAGGACAACGAGAGACTTTTATATACACGAAGACGGACAAATGGATACACACAACATAAACTCACACATATATACACACGTTCACGGTCCTACGCGAAAGGGAGTTAATGTTCTTGTTCGTCCACTCACATTCTACTCTTGGGGCGTGAACGTTGCGCTTGACCTTGAGCTCTCTGGTAGTCAGGAGGCGGTGTGCCTTGTGCTTGCGGAGTTCGTACCGAGGCGGGGCCCGCTCTAGAAGATAACCGCCAGGGGCATCCCAGTACGGTGGTCAACGCCTGGGCTTGCCTGTACACCACCGAGAACAGCGTACCGCCGACTGCCGCGAACAGACCTGGGACAGCGTCTCGCTCCAAGACCAGAACAGCAGCTGGCCGTGACGAACGTTGCTTCAGACCAATGTGGGGGTGAGGTTGGGCGACGCCCAGGCCAGGACGCACCCGAGGACTTCAACGCCGAGACGAGGCCCGGACACGGAGGGTCAGAGCGAGCAGCCGGGGCGTGGCCCGAACTTGTCCTTGCTCTCTGCTCTCTGGGGTTAGCCGAGCTGTCCCCGTGGCTCGGGAGCTTTTCACGAGGCACGCGCACGAGCACGCCCATAGGCGAGCTTCATCATTTCACCGCTATCACCATTATGGTAACTCCACGCACCTGGAATGCTAAATTGGTCCCGCACACCGATCACAAATAAATCGACCCCGAACACCGATCTTCTACGTCAGAGCACGACGCACACTCTCCGGGGCAATGTTTTTCACCCCATCTTCCCCCCAGTTCAAGAAAGTTGCATGCACTGTGGCAGCTGGTGTTGAACTAGTTCACAGAGCGTGCAGTATGACGATGCCGAAGGATGTAGAGGTGGTGTCAGATAGACACTTTGGTTGCTGACATTCATCCGGTTTAAAGTGCGTTGCCGGGTCGAAGTTCCGACGCACACGTTGGAGACGGAGTTGCACCAATGTTGTAGACTGGAATGTCCAACTGTCTTGCCGGCACCATAGGGCACTGTATTATACACTCAAAGATTTACCGGCATAAAAGCGCACTTTGACAGCGGTATTCTTTATCATCGCCCATCCACACCGACGGATGACAGTGAAAAAAATAAGTGATAATAAAAAAGGCAAAAATATGTGACAAGATTGTGCCACACCTAAAAGAATCTGTACACTTTTCAAGTGTAACTCGACTTCATGTGCCTTGAAATAACATTTCAGCTCTTTGGTTGCCATATTAAAAGCGTACAGCTGGTTTCACTTAGCTGACAATTATTCTCGGTGACTGTGATTGTTCGTGGACCCAGGAACTCAGACGCGCAGAGCCGTGACCGTGAACACAGAAAATACATTATCAAGTAAGACGGAGCACAACTGAAAGACATAGACAACTGACACAATATGCATAAACTGAACACATTCAATGATGAGATGATAATGTTTTGTCTTTGACGATGTATCAAGGGCGTCCACACACGGAATGCACGGCACCGCACGCTCGTGACCCGATGCCTAGGCCAACGACCACTCACTCATGCCGTTGCGGCGAACACAGGCCCCGGGCAGCACGATGAATTCGTCGAGTAAAGCTTGGAAGCATCGATGCCCAGTAAGTCGGGCAAACATTATGTCAGCGCGAAAAATTGGTTCCGCATGCAGTTCGAAGTCCATTGTCGTGTCGCAGTTCAGTTTAGAATCGGTCAACCAGGTTTGTATTCTTTCTCCTTTTCTTCCATGTACTAGCGCAGAACCAGAGCTCTTTCTTCCTATGTGCTTCTGTCTACCGCGGTGGCTTCCCGATGTTTACGTAGATAGAACAATGTTCGATCGAAACATCGGGGTCTGAGCGCCAGGCTACGTAGTCCAAAGCACGCCACATCTTTCGGTTGTCTCGAAGTTCATTTGCCTCCGCATGGTACGGAGTACCATGTTTTGGGCTCACAGCGTTCCTACCTCCACTACTACTCTTGGAGTTCCGGCCCCTCTTGCTCGAATTATGGTCATCTTCTGGCTCTGTTTTAGGGTTTTTCAATGCCACTCGCTTTTCGTTGGCCTCCGAAGCAATAGTCTCAGATGCGCCTGACGTGCTCTTTGTATGGCCGAGAGGTTTCAGCTGACCACTGCAGAGGCCATGCTGCTCTATACTTCCGTCACATTCAATGCCATCACATGTCAGCTTAACACATTCACTAGCAGACCGTTTACCCAGAGCTACATCACCACGTTCTCCAACACACACTTTTTTGGGGGTACCTGACAGATTTGTGTCAACATCATGAATAACTATGTCATCCTTGCGAGGATTGACTTGGTCCTCTTCATTTACCTCATTAAGCACTGCCTTATTTGCAATCTCTCGGATTACCAAGATAGCTGTGCTGATCTCAGACAACAGCTTCTCCCCTTCCTGTCGCAAACGCACACGCTCATTGTCATTTTTGCACATGTGCCGCAGTTCAAAATCAATTCTCTTATGTTCCTCTTCGAGGTCTTCTTGCAACATTCGCTCTAAGTCGGCGCAAGACCACCCGACCTCCTCTCCAATACAAAGCAGTCTTTGCACGTTAAGAGGCATCCTGTGTGCGACCAATTCTCGGCTGAAAAATGTTAAGTGCTGATCCTGGCAGACCCATGTCCGTTCCGATCGCGTGCAATTTTTCCGAATCCATCGGTTCGTCCCGCCCGTCTGGCTCTCGGCAAGAAGGTAAGGCCGATCTATCCTGGCAGGCTCGCCAAAATTTGTCGGCAACTGTGGGCACAGGTTAGCCAGATGAGGAGAGAGGACATTCGAGGACAACGAGAGACTTTTATATATACGAAGACGGACAAATGGATACACACAACATAAACTCACACATATATACACGCGTTCACGGTCCTACGCGAAAGGGTGTTAATGTTCTTGTTCGTCCACTCACATTCTACTCTTGGGGCGTGAACGTTGCGCTTGACCTTGAGCTCTCTGGTAGTCAGGAGGCGGTGTGTCTTGTGCTTGCGGAGTTCGTACCGAGGCGGGGCCCGGTCTAGAAGATAACCGCCAGGGGCATCCCAGTACGGTGGTCAACGCCTGGGCTTGCCCGTACACCACCGAGAACAGCGTACCGCCGACTGCCGCGAACAGACCTGGGACAGCGTCTCGCTCCGAGAGCAGAACAGCAGCTGGCCGTGACGAACGTTGCTTCAGACCAATGTCGGGGTGAGGTGGGGCGATGCCCAGGCCAGGACGCACCCGAGGACTTCAACGCCGAGACGAGGCCCGGACACGAAGGGTCAGAACGAGCAGCCGGGGCGTGGCCCGAACTTGTCCTTGCTCTCTGCTCTCTGGGGTTAGCCGAGCTGTCCCCGTGGCTCGGGAGCTTTTCACGAGGCACGCCCATAGGCGAGCTTCATCATTTCACCGCTATCACCATCATGGTAACTCCACGCACATGGAATGCTAAATTGGTCCCGCACACCGATCACAAATAAATCGACCCCGAACACCGATCTTCTACGTCAGAGCATGACGCACACTCTCCGGGGCAATGTTTTTCACCACACTGGGGTGTCTCTTCTATTCTTCTATGTCGACAGCTAAATGAAAATCGCCAGGTGCACTCTTCATGATCACGTTTAAAAAGGAGGGACCAGTCCAAAGAGTGGTTGCTTCTTGTGTCAGTGAGCCAAAATAAGGGCGCCAATTAAAGTGCGCACAAAACTGAAGAGAGTTGACAAGCGCCACAATCTATTGTTTTATCATACCATCAAACGATCGCCCGTGTGTAATCCAAAAACAAACATTCTGCGTTTACCTGAAGCCATAAACCAAAATACATAATAAAACAAATAATCTGCTTTTGAATACTATGTGACCACGTCTACCCAATCGCTTGCTCATTTGTACACATGGCTAGGTACGGTGTACTGATATAACTGTCACCATGTGCTTGTTGTCACAGGACGACATAATTATTTTTTTCATGATTCAGATTTCATTTCTCCCTAGCGTTTCTGTATCTGAAAAGTGTGTTTCCCACCTGTTGATAATAAACTTCGCCATCAAGTGCGCTCTTTATTTATCAGCGCTAAAGCATGTTCCCGTTCTCGGTCGCATATGCTGGCCACTTTGTCATATATGTAGGACTTGGTACAAGACAGAGGTATATTTTATGCAGTATGCTGCGCTATTATATTTCGCTCACCCATTGGCGGATGGGCAGTGTTTTCTTACCATGTTCAAAAAAGTGTTGCGAAGCCGCTCTAATGGTTGTCTAAAATGCAAAAATACGGCACAGGTAGTTACACACTTATTTTTTCCCATGTCATTGATTCGCGTAATTGTAATACTTTATGGTGTTCTTGTGCCTGACCACTTTACTTCTCTTAGGGGCTTTATTGGGAGCACTCGGTGGACATTGTTATGTGCCAAGCAAACGAACTCATTCGGATTTGCTAAACCCAGAAGGCTATAGGAATCTACTTGCATGTGTGATTATGGTGAAAAGCTTACACTTATAGTGCAACATGCCACCGAAAATTATAAACGTTCAGAAAAGACTTGGATGCTAGTCTTGGGGTAATCCACATGCGCAGCTAGTTCTTTACGCAGGCTTAACCATAATGCGTGGGGGAAGGTGTCACAGACGTTACTTCCAGAATTTGCATAGCAATTCCAGGGGACTGTTGCACCTTGTTTGTTAGTGTTGGTGCCATAAAAAAGTATGATGGTTTGGCCTAAATGAACAAGCCATATTAGCAAAGCGATGCTCAGGCAGCTGGCAAAAGCAGCTGGTCTACCTGAAGCAATGGAGAATTCAGTTGCTGTCATTCGTGTGCATTTTATTTCCTTGCGCAGACACAAGCTCTTGGAATGGTGGTGCTATTCGGTGCCGATTGGCGTCCCACGTGTGATTTGCGGCTTCCGCGATGACGATGGGATCGTGCAGAGCGTGAGGGAGTTTCAAGTGCACCAGATGCCCGAGGAAGCAAGGGTCAGTTGCGTGTCCTCCTAAAGCTATGAGGCTAAGTGACAAACTTTTTAAAATGCGAAGCATTTTTTAGCGAACTTCGGCAACTTTGAGTCTGTCTATCTATCTATCTATCTATCTATCTATCTATCTATCTATCTATCTATCTATCTTATCTATCTATCTATCTATCTATCTATCTATCTATCTATCTATCTATCTATCTATCTATCTATCTATCTATCTATCTATCTATCTATCTATCTATCTATCTATCTATCTATCTATCTATCTATCTATCTAGCCGCTTACGTTTGGGTGCTCTCGTTGTCACCTCTTAACTTGGCGTGAATCAAAATTAGCATGGGAGGGTAAGATGATTTGACGAACGTGACGCGCTGGTCAAGACATGAAAAATCACAACTTATCACGTACGTCGTCAAACACTTCCCATCAGACAGCGGCACATACCCACGGGCGGGTATGTGCCGCTGGTATGCGGGTATTTGCCACAAGTAATTGATACTAACACTCTAACAAAAATATCGTGTAAAAAGGGTGTCTTTTTGTCCCACAGCAATAATCATCATCAGGCTTGCGTGCGCTTCCTTTCTTGAAAAATCAGCGCTGGCCACTTTTCTATCGAGAATGCAATGTGACCCTGATAATGGGCATGTCGATCGTGACCGGAATATACCGGGCGAGGGGCGATAGCACAAGAATAGAACGCAATATAGATGACGATTTTCGTTGTGGTACAAAAAGACACTCTTTTTACTCGCTATATTTTAGAGTGTAGTACCTACCTACGAACGAGAACACACAAGGGCACATTTAACGCGTAAGCGTTAAGAAATACCCGGCATTTGTAGCGTGGACCCAACGATGGCATAGCATAAACGTCAGTGTTAAGAAAAACCTGATATAGGCACCTTTGACACCCTGTTGAATGCAAAGAATAAATGTCACGGTGCCAGCTGGAATCGAACACAAGCATTCTACGTGGCAGTGAAGCATTCTACCGCAGAGCTATGCCAGGTCTCGGAACTACTTTTTAAGTAGACGCTAATCTTCGTGAAACGTCAATAGTGGTTGCAGTGCTGCCTGCCTAATTTTATAAAATATACATATGCACTCCGTTGATACAGCTGTCACGTCGGGTTAACGTCGATTGTGGTTAGGTGCCATGTGCTCAAGTTGATTTCTGTAGCAGTATCCAGGGCCAGCATCTTCGCGAGCATCAGCGTTTCATATCAGCTTCTGGTGTTGCTAATACGCATGTTCCAGTTGGCATCGTTGCGCAAGTGCAAACAACTGGTCGTATTAACATATGCAACTCTTGAACATATGTCTGTGCGTGCAACAATTGTACATATACTTACTACCATTCATGACGTGTTGCTCAATAAAAATCTGCAACCAGGTCACCTTCCCTCCTCATGCTTCGCATAATGTCGATTCCCGCGTACGTGGGTTTTGCCGAATTTTTAATAAGTAACAATCCTTAGAGATTATTTGTCTACAGCATAAAGTATATCTCTTCAGGTGCATATTAGCATTATGAAAGCAAGTCCTATGTTTTGTTAATTTTCAATAGGTCAAAATTTCATTGAAAATATGCCTTGCGCGAACACTCCTAACTTAAGTTCAGCTCACAGAAAAAAAATAATTTTTGCAGGCACATAAACAGTGCATCGGCCTGCTTAATGAAACAAAACGAAGAAGATCTGATAAATATGAAAATATAGTAACTAAATAACAAAAAATATACGCTCGAGCTAGGGGCACCTTCGTGTAGAAAGCTGCCATTTTTATCTTGTAGCATGATTTTGCTTATTGACGTACATTGAATGCCTGCTAGAGTGATAAAGAAGTGTGCCAAGTTTTAATAAAAAATCTTCAACAGCGAAAGAGTTACGACTGCTCGCGTGCGACAAAATGCGATTGATACAAATTCCGAAAAAATCAACAAAAAGCAAAATATCTGAATCAGGTGTAGCGCTTACAGAAGATGATCAGGAGAGCTGAAACGCTGAATATTTATTTCCAGGTCCTTTGTAGAGTTTACAACTGTCTACCTTATTTGGAGCGGCAAGTCAGTTTTTTTTTGTAGCTTGTTTTGCATCATGAGTGTCACGATGGGGCGCTTTCGTGCTGCGGTGCTTATCATTTATAATACATGCTTTTCCACTGTAATGGTAAGGCTCGATCTGAATTTGCTTAACATTGCCAAATGCACTTCTGTTACGAATACTGAAATGTCACCCATCGTCAAAAATTGCAAACTTGATATTTTACAGGATGACGTACGTGTCCTAGAGCTTGAACAAATCTTTTATCACTTTACACGTTCACTTAGTGAGAAGTTTACGTCTTTTATAATTGAAAGTTATGTCTTCGCATTGCTTTTAGAAAATTATGACATGTTTTCACTTGGTATGATAGCTAAATAACCTACAAAATACTGTATATCAAGCTAACTTCATAGTTCGCACAAAACTGGCACTTTCATTTTCTGTCTTGTAGGGATTGGATGGTCTAACACATTTGTCTTACCTTTTAAAAAAGACAGCGCAGATAGAAGCTTTATACAGCACAATAATGGGCAATAAATTTCGTATCTAAAGTAAGTAGGAACTATGAAACGACATTTTTTAGCAAAAATTTCACTTCTCCACTTGTCCTCATACTTCAGATAGCCCTTAGCTCATAAGGCTACTCCCAACATGAAGAGTACACGGTAGAACACACAGAAACCGTGACACGCTGTCACTGCCATGAAATCATGATGTATTCCTATACGTTGCCTGTGTATGTGCTACTATCAGTATCGATGAAATATTTGACACTCACGGGTTGTACCCGTAGTCTTAAGTTTTGCTTCAGCGACGTGACGGGTGCCATCAAGAACATTGTGATCACGGTCCATTACTGTAGCTGCGGTCGCAGTAGGAGTGGGGCAGCCGAAAGCAAATATTTAAGCAGCTCCGCTAGGCGGGCACTGATGAAACAGCGAAGATCTTTGCTTAGAAAGGAGCTTTTGGTTCATTATTTTGTTAAGCTCGTTGAACGATGTCGGATTTGAATACAGTGAGTTCAAATTAATTCGCAAGAAGCGAGTCTAATGGAGTGGAAATTAAGTGGGTGAATGAAATGTGAGGAGTGGGGAGGGTAGTCAGGGGCGTAGTTGTGACGATAGTTATAGCGCGAGAACAGAACGACGACACAGAGACAAGAAGGACACGATGGACACGTCCGTAGTGTCTCTGTGTCGTCGTTCTGTTCTCGTGCTATAACTATCGCCATGTCCTACCAACTAGCCTAAGCTGCCACACTTCTAAGTTACGTAGTTGTGAGTTGGGGGAGTTGTCTGGTGGTGGGCGGAGTGGCACATATTCGAAGTGAAGTTGACCCGCTTTCTGTGGCACACACCCGTTTACATCTATGATCGTCTCCTGGCAGGAAAGGCTACCAAGAACAACTTCGCTATTGAAAAAAGTTTATTGCATACTATTTAGAGCATTCTGGTGGCCTAATTAAGGGCACCGAAGTATTTTTCGTTATCGTGAGTATGTTATGTATGATGATGTTCTAGCTGCTTTGATAATGACAGCTGTGATAAATACATACCACTGGAATCACATAGTCTAACATCTATAAGAACGTAATACATACGCTCAAGATAAGTGGC